GTTATAGTACTGAGGTGACAAATAAACATACTACTCACCTAATGATAAACAGGTCTCGTAGTCTATGAAAGCTTGCAATACCAGGAGCATTACGCGTGCATTGCCGTTGCTGTCGTGGTGATTTAAATATATCCCGTTATATCTACATAACGTATAAATACGTTATATCGTTATATATACAATTAGCTTAACAACAAATACTGTGTATACCTACTTTGAGTAATTGTACAGAAACTAGCAACAGTCCCAGCTTCACAATTTTTCTTTTTTTTTTTTCTTCACTTCACACTTTCCATCAAACTCTGATAGATTGATGGAAAGATAAATTAGTATTTTATATTGGCTTTAATAGATAAATGTTCTTTATGGCAGTCTATGGGGAAAGCCTATGTCCAGCAGTAGACGGATAATGACTGAAATGGTGATGATGATCCTTGATATTCTTTCATTATTGTAATATTTGTAAGAATATCTATTTTTTTTTTAAGTAATATTACTGTACCTGTATTACTTGCTGATAATTTAGTTTTCTATAAGTGGAACGATTTTTAAAAGTAGGTAGATTTTTTTTTTAATTTATCCATTATAAACAAATATGCTAAAATCAAATCTGTCCTTTTTTATAATATTAGTGTAGATAAATAATAAAAGAGATTTTAATTTTGCAACTTCATAATAATATCTGCTTTGAAAAATAGCAACTCAGAGATGCGCCATTTAATTATGTATTCTGCTTGAAACTTTTGTTACTTCCTATAACTGAAGCAGTAAGGAAGTAAAAGGTAGCCACTGAATGAATAACAGCGTTCCATAAGAAAACTCTTATTAAGGACATCATTAAGCTATTGAATGTTGCAAAGCACGTCCGGGACATGTCTTGCCTTTTTATAGAGTTAGTTACGAGCAAGTTTCAAATACAGACATAGATACAAGTGGAATAAGAGAAAGCTATCGATTACAGAATATATAATTACTACGTTAGTACTTATTCTATAATTATTTTTAAATTCACCTATTGCAATTATTTATTTGCTTTCATTAAAACTAGATTAAATACCAATTTTAATTCTATTGACAATAAATCAAACCGTACAACTAAGTCATTTGAAAAATTCAACTGTTCATATACCTGTATTTAAATAAAGCTAAATCATATAAGTAAAAAATAAATCCTGGATACGAAATTGAATTTGCTTATTTCTTACTTTTTAGCGTCCTAACAACTAGACCAATTACTAAGAAATAGGAATCACGATGTATATGGAATAAAGAAGGGTATAAGCTACTTCTTATGCCAGTCAGTGAACATGTCTCAGTAACACAGACAAAGTTGCGGGTAAAAGTTAATTATAAATAAATTCTGCAAGCCGATATGTAATATTGGTATTTATCCGTTACTTATTTTTAGTATAGTAAATAATTATATTGAAATTATAGAAACGTAAGATGTTGTAAGATGTATCAATTTTCTATAATAATAAGTGCACAACAGTATCAAATTATCACAACACATTATTATAATTGACGTTCGTTATCTTCAAAATGATTAATATATGAACATGTCAAACATTGACACCTCATACTCGATAACCCGAATATCAAGCTCATTATGATAATATATATATATATAAATAATTACACTGCAATTATCAGTTACTATTTTAGATCAAGGAGGTCAGAAGTAATGACAGGTTCTTGATTAATAAAAAATAAAACTTTCGATAATGTTGAAGGCAAAATAAAATTATCAATACTGATTGAAAGCATACGCAGATAACGGAATTGTTATACTTTCTAAGTTCTATGATGGTACAAGTGCTTTAATAAGTAGTGGAAATCATTGTTATTAAACCTGAATATAATATATAAATAATAACATTGTCAAGACTGTATGCAGTAACGAAAAGCAAGACAATTTCTAGATTGAATTAATGATTCTTCGATGATGTTTCCTTTTTACATAATATTGTTAATGTATTTTTTTAATTCGCTAATTAATAGAATATTTTAGATAGAACTTAGAGAATAGTTGATAATGAACTTTTTACGTAATTCCAGTTTATGCGATGTGGTTAACTTAAGCACATTTTAAACTACCGGTTTAACTTACGTTTAATTTGTTCGAGAAGAATCGTCTAGTATCGAGACCATCAAGACTAAGGGTCTCGGACGGTTTAGAAACTAGTTAAGCTTTTTCAACCAAACACATAAATTAAACCGATAGATATTACATTAAAACATAATGTGTACTTACGAGACTTTTAACAATAAAACATAGGTATAGTCTATAAAAATTCATAATCAATTCAGATGACCTCAAATAGAGACCTGATTTTTTGCGATATTGAAAATCACGTTAACATAAACTTGCCTTCAACTGATTCTGATATTAAAAAAACATGAATCTGTTACACAAGAAGTCACCACAGGCAAGGTTAGTCATTGTTAAGTGATTACGATCGTGGTAGGTCTCGACTTAAGTCTTACAATATCGCCGATGTGTATCTTATTAGATTGTTCTACAAAGGAGTAACGTTAGCGTTAGGTATAATTTATCAATAGAAATTAATCTCCTTAAGATACTAATATATTTATAGACACCATTGTTCGTGTGTTGACGGAGTAAAATACAATGTGTCACCGCGCCTTTTCATCCTTAAGATGTCGTAAAAGGCGAGCGAGGTAACAATATACAATACATTATTTCAGTAGAAAGAAAAGTCGATATAATACAAAGTCTGGCCAGTGTGGTAATAGTGGGACTCACCATGTCCAGCGGTGGTATTTTATTGGGTTAGAAAGCTAAGATATGTGTCAGTGATATGTACTTACGTAAGACTAAAAATCTTTCCATGCTACAGAAATGTCATAAATTCAAAACAGGACTATCACATTTTAATGTCTGATATTAACTCAATGACCATAGATTATAGAGACACCTCCCCTTATTCATAAAAACCAAACCAACAAATAAATTATATACAACTATGTCACTTTCTTTCATATTTGGAATTTAGCGCAAAAGAAAAAGACAGTTCAATAGCTGAAATGAGTTCATAAGAAGTTTGATGTTTTTATGAATAAGGGGGTGAGTATGTCTAAAAACATGACATATAGAGAGATTTAATTTTTTTTGTCATGTTTCTTTTACAAAAATGATCAAAATACTTCCTTCTGAGGATGCTAACAATTTTAATTTCAGCCTGTACATCTGAGTGTCATTTCAATGCAAGTTTATATTTATATACACAATACTGTCTGTTACCCAGATAAACAGAGTATTAGCAAATAAAGGCTATTAGTTCATATCAATATTTGACCTAGCTAATAAACAATACAGTAGCCCAATATTTTACATTATGCAACGACTACCTAATACGAGACCACGCCTATTGAATACTTAATGTTAACCCACGATAGAGAATAGCCCGTAGGTAGAAATAAACATTGAACATTCTATCTATAAGGGACACTGTGTTCGTAAAATGTTTTTGCAAATTTCGTAATTGTACATAGAATATTACACTTGAGCAAACCAGATGCTGTGACAGGTTTGATGTAGAAATTATATTTGCAAATAGTACTAATCATAAAAGGAGATGGACAAGTTATGAAACCTGTCAGTACTTAATGACTTTGTGGTGCTCACTCATTTACACATAGTAAGGCCAGATACAATAACAGAAAGATGCAAATGAAATTAGCTCTAATGTAATTAGCATACGGCGGACAATCTTTTGAAGTAACAGTGTGAATTTTATTTTAACTTCTCAGTTATTAAATAATAAAAACATTTTTTCATAAAATGTGTTTTTGTTAGGATAAAAATATTTAGAACAATGCTGGTTAAAAGAATCGAAAACCCCTTTGTGACTGAAAGACAGCATATTTATATATTTTTAAAAGATAAATTCTTATAGACAAGTCGAATGCAATGGGGGGCTATTATAATGGTAACAATTACAAAATGTGTCTGGAAATGGAAAGCGTATTATACTATCAACCGACTTCAATAATAAGAACGTTCTCAAATCAGTTATAATTTTTTATGTTCATTACCTCATAATCTCAATTTTTTTTTTGTCTGAAAGTATATAAATTAATCTCATAGTAATTTTGTTAAAATCGGTTCAGCAGTTTAGTTTTTAAATCAAAATAATAATTAGTGTTGCCACACACTATCTTATTTACTTTTCAACAAGTTAATCATAATATACGATATGTTAATACGAGCCAACCTTTTTTTTTTAATCTAAATTAATTATTTATTCCAAATTTAACATCTTTATTTTTGTCAATACCAGACTTCCAATATCACAATTTTCTGACTTCATCTTATCAACTTAATAACGGCAAAGTACTTGAAAAAATACTTTTAAAATATACCAATAATGTACTGAGGGAAAGTATTCATTCTGATGATAACACCCGCATATTTCATATCACGTGTAGAGTGTAGAACAAGGTATGGCACTTCCCAAAATTATGCATATCAATGACACTGGGGAATAGGGTTCGAATATATCAAATGAATACAAAATTTTTGCGACAAAATATACCAAAATTTTACATGCGACCGTAATAGGTCAATTAGTCCAATTATATAAAGGTATATCTACGTTTACTAAATGCCAAATAGTTTTGTTTTATAGTTGCTAAATAATGGCATATATATGTGTATTGATTTGTCACTAAATAATAATAGTGTCCGGGACATGGTCAATTGACCAGGATAAAAAAAAAACAATTTCAATCCCAAATAGTACATTCTTATTGGTATGGTTATATATTACACAGCATTTATACAAAATTTTATACACGTTACTGTGATACATAAAATAAGATTTTACTTGTTTCCACCGAAATGCATTGACAAACTCAATATATTTGCAAGCGAAGTGTTTGCTAGAACCGTGAGTGTTACCAGTGACGATTGCCAGTATGAACCATATGGTGTGCTGTCATTACATTATATAAATTATTACTTTTCATTGTTTCAGAGTGGTACAATGGTATAACCTGAACAGAAATGCGGTGGTTCAGAAAAGGCGAGCCGCCGCGGTTGCTAGCCGTGCCGCCTGAAGCGGAAACACGCTCTGTTCGCAGATCACGAATTGGTGAGTTGGCAGCTCTCAAATATTCTTCTGAGTTTTAAAAAAAATATTATTTATTTACATAAATTATTGACATATTATATACTCATCATATACGTTGCATCTTAACGAAAATCAGTAGTGATCTTGCGCTCTGTAGCGTGTCTTAATTTGGCAGTGGTCAACAGTAGGCTTATTATGATGGTAATTTATATCGTATTTAGATAAAATAATGAGCGGTATATATAATTTATATATGTAGCTAAATCTACTTTGTTCGAAAAAAATATTATGAACATATTTTGTGCTAGTGCTTATTCAAACAACAAATTTTAAAATTTTAATTGTTTATCTAACAGTTTCTATGAATTACGAGAAAAAATATCTTAAGTGATTCCAACGGCAGCAAACAGAAAAATAAAACAATTTAAACGAGCCAATAAATTAAGGTAAAATAACTAGTATTTTTAGTACTTACTATTCATATGTTTGATAAAATCCACTATATAAATTTGGAGTCAAACATTCAATGTGCTAATAACCAAACTACTCGTAAATTCATAATCATAATCAAGCAAGCATAACAGTAAGCTGTCATTATTTTGTCAAATATAAAGCAAATAATTTTTAAGAGATTTAATTTTAACGAAATTAAAGAATGCATGGATAATGATTTAATTTTCATTCAATTTTAAGAGCTCCATGCACTCTTGTCAGTGGTAATCTTGCAACGCACCAGGATTTTCGGTGACTCTCTTTACGAATCTTGACACATACGATACGACGTCAACTTTTTTCTTAACCTGCTTGATTTAACTTCAGAAAAAAAAATGTCTGTTATTTTTCAAGCCTATTAAAAATAAGTATAGGTACGAAGATGTGAACTTTTTCTATTTATTTTAAAAATTGTAAAGAAAAGAATTGGTAAATTTATTTGAAGTGGCAATTACGAGTATATGGATATTACTTTAAATTCTCTAATAAAGATCACATACTTGTTTTGACCTTGTTCGTAATATAAATTTGTCAGCGTAATTGACCTAATATAGTTCTTGTTCCATACCTAATATGAAGGTGTTGCAAGAATCTGAAAAACTAGCAGTTTGCGCAAGCATTTCCAAACTTACTATAAGTTGTTATACTTGGCATACAAAATATGCAGATTACAGAGACTTGATGATGGATATGAGCAAAATTAAATTCTGATGTAAAAGATATACTCGTAAACTATAAAAGTGCTTGTTGAAAAATAAAAAAAAAAATCCGTCACGGTGAATATCACAAAATTTGGGAATTTGCGTCGCATTTACCCAAGCATAATTTTAATACAAATTGCGACATACCTAATCATCCCACCTACCCCTCGAATAATTTTGATAAGCCCACTGAACTCGTTAATAAAATTTACTTAAATATATTTTACACAGAAAATGGATTTCTGTTATAAAAGTAAGGTAAAAAATATTTAATGTTTTTTATTGATTGTCAGTACTTCATTTAACTGGTTAGTATCCAAATAACCTAGACATTAATCCGATGGAGGTCGATATATTGTACTCGCACAAATATTGACATTAATTTCAAAATTAATTAACAATATATTTATTCATCTATTAATACAATAAAATGTATATTAGAATTGATTCATAACAAAATCAGAAATATTAAATAAAATTTCAAAATGTTAAATATTTATCACAAGTAGCGAGTGGGTACGACATTTTCGAATCTAGTAACTAAGCTAAATCTTATAATTCAGCAGCAATTAATATAATCAGCAATCTGATAATTTCAAGACCTTTCATGATTTATTAATCGATATTGATAATTATTTGTTTAATCTAAAACTTTAAACCTTAACATCTTTAATCTAAATACCTTTGTTGATCCCATATCAATTTTGCCAATATTGAGATTGTTTTTTAAAAAAAATATAATTTAGGCCTTCTATCTTACTTACTCTGTGCCTCTTAATTTGCACTCTACCTCCAAATATATATCCTCATTGTGCTCGATAGAGGAGGCATCCCGCCACTCGTATCAAATAGCAAGGACAGGATGCGTGAACAAATGCACCTCCATCTAAAAAAAATCATAAAGTTTCAATTTGAAGTTTATTACAGTCTAGCACTATTAAAGACATTAGATGTTAATCGTATACTAAACCAAATCGCCCACTACAATAGTAATCTGAGCTTAAACTCGAATTGTGTTGGCGACCAATGAAATAAACGATGTCTTTGCCACCTACGTATTGAAATGTTCATTATTTGGTTTCCCTTTGTGCTACATAGATAAAATTTATGTAACAGTATTACTTATGAAAATTTTGTAATATATTTCTTGCGGATTTAATAAAGCCGATTTTTAAAGTCATTTAATCAGCTCCAAAAAGAAGTCCGTTATGAAAACGTACAACAAATAATATAATTTAACATACATAGTTTAAATTATAAGAACTATATAAAAATTTATATTTTGTATACTGAAGCTATGAGCCAATTTTTCTATTCTAAGTTGCATAAACAAATTATCATTAATATGCATAAAACGCATACAGAAATTATTGATAAAATTAGGAAATTATTAATTTTATCCGATAAATCTATATGTCGACCTGTGTTACAAACCTCTGACTTGTAGAAGATAAGAAAGTCTCTTAACAGTAAACAACTAGTATTCTAGGAATATAATGTAGTTACTTTAATTACTAATTAATAGTTAAAAGATATACATGCATATGAATAAAAAAATATAGTTCTTTAATTCCAGTATCGATAAACAATATAAATATTTTTAATGATAATGTTATTTCAATAAAAGCAAAAGTCATAAGTTCATCTGTAGTTCTTCATTGTTCCGTTTTATGTGTACTCGTAAATATAACTGACCTATTCTATTTACCTACTTAATTTATTTTACATTGTTGTATCGATCTCACGAGTGGATTAATTTTACATTACAGATGTGTCCCCAGTGCGCTATCCTCAAAGAAAAAGTAGCGGCAGCTCGGTGGAAACTAACTTCTACAATCTAAATGATCAGCTTATTATAGTCGAAAAATCGCCTCATCGAAAACATGCTAGCAATGGTGAGACTCCAGTCACTCGTCGTATCTCACTACAAAACGGTCCCACTTCACCCCAAGAGAATTACAACACCAGTCGCAAAAACCGTGGAGGCTCTTTGGAAAAAGAATACATGGTATATCGTGAAAAACGCAACCCATTACTCGACAAAGTAAAAAATACAAAACTATCATGTTTCAAGTCAAATGGACCTTTAAGACACGCTGAAGATGCTGCATCAACATCTGGAAGTGACTGTAGTGGATTTGGTCATATTGATGATATTAATCATTGTCGATACCCAAATAACTATCCCGAAACACACCTAGAATTAGATAACCAAAATCCTTGGGTAAAGATGGCAAATTATGACGATGATGTATTTTTTGCCAAGAGTATGACTAGTCCTGTTGAACCAAACTGGAGAGAAAATAAATCTTTCTCCAATAGAGGCGCTCGATGTTATAGCTCAGGGTCGGAGTGCGACCGCTATCATATTATACCAAAAGTAGGAGCAAAGCTTTCGAAATCAAGCGACCAAATTTTCAATGACGATTTTGAAAATTATGATGATGCGCCTGTTATTATAAAATCTCAGAAAAAGACTGATAAATATAAGATTAAAGATGAAAAAGATACAATTGGACCCAGTTCCTGCCTATCTGCTAAGTTAAGAGCAATGTCAGATAGATATTTAAAATCTACATCAACTAAAATACTATCGAAATTATATAAACAAAATGGCGATAATGAAGAAGAAGTAAACGGCAGCAACGATAATATTTTAAAGTCAAGCAGTGGAAATAAAAGTCGTAAGAAACGAGGTGGCGTCAAAGCTAAACTACGAAGTTTTTCATATGGTGCATTACCAGGTTTAGAAGAATTCCATAAAGGCCATAATTCAGTTTTTCACGATGACGTTTATCAAGTATCTTGTGATGATGAAAACGCATTAATACAAGACTGTGAAGATGCTGACTCTGGTATCCTAGTCAATGAATCTGCAGCTTCTTCTATATTCGATAGTGACAGAATCTCTTCTCGGTGCGAGAGTTCTGCTTCACATACAAACCCAGTGGTTCCTTGTCACGGTAGAAGTGTTTCGGGAGACCAAAGTTATATAAAAGCACGAACTTCTGGTAGAATGAGTAGAGATAGAAATAATTGTCCTAAACCTAGGCCACGACATACCCAAAGAGCTTTATCTTTAGACCGCAAGGAAATACTTAGGCGCATGCCAAAGAATAATAATGAACCAGAACCTCAATATTTACAACTTACTGAGAAACAAAAAATGCGTCAAAGAGATGCTAGTCGGGATTCCGGAATTCCTCCTATTCCGCCATGTAGAAAATCAGATAAGGATAAATCTAACAAAATTCAATCCGAATTCAAAGTTGTTAAAATATTAAGAAGAACTCCAACTGATGAATTAGGCATTTTTATCGCAAAAACAAAGCTCTCTGATGAAGGTCACATAGGATATCTCGTAGCTCATGTGGTGCCAGGAGGATTAGCAGAGAAGTAAGTACTGTTTAAAAAATAATTTCCTTGTTTATATTAAAAATATGAAAGTAAATTTCATTAACCTTTTGGTGCTTTAATCCCTCAACCGATCATCTTGAAATTTTACTAACTACTCAATGAAGTTACGATTACACAGAAAAAATCACAAGCATAACTAATTAAAAAATATTAGGTAAAATTAAATAGCAAAGACTCAATTTTGTCTTTGACATAAATTATATAATTAGATTTATAAAAATAATACAGTTTTCACTATATTAATGCAATTGAATTTTATGCGATATTATTTAAATTATTTTTATATTACTTTATTATTTCATAAAAGTGTTTTAATGAATGAAATTGTATAACAACGTTTCAGAGAAGGAACTCTGCGCATAGGAGATGAACTACTCAACGTCAACGGCCGCCGTCTCCGAGACCTCACCATGTCAGAAGCCAAGGAAGCGCTGAAATCTGGTTCGTCAGAAATAGACATTGTCATATGCAGACAACGTGAAAAACCACAGCCAGATGCACGCTACAGAGAGCAATCGCAACGGAACGCTATTTTGATGCGCGAAAGTTCTGTAGATTATGAAAACGCAATTATATTGGGAAAGGAAAAACGTGTGGACAAATATGACGTCAGGATAGATCGACAACGAATACAGGACGAGTCAGCGTGTAATCGCAGCGCGCTATCAACTGCGGACGAGGCGAGCGACAACGCACTCGGCGCACACTCACACTTCCTCAAAGGCCAGAACGCTAGTTACAGCAGCATGAATAACAAGCTACTCCGCCGACAAGTCGTCAGTTACGGTGGCGCTAACAAGGACGGGCTTGCACTCAGCTGTGCCGGTGATATTGTCGACGTCGATGTGCCTGACGGTGTTTCAGAACGGATTAAAGACAGGAACGATAGTGAGAACGTTACGCAGTCCCCAAATGCAGCGAACTTCTGCACGCTACCACGAAAACCGCGAGCACCGACGCACACTTATCATACCATAACATTTGAGAAGGGACAAGGGAAGAAACCACTCGGCTTCACCATTGTGGGAGGACGCGATTCACCCCGAGGTCCCCTTGGAATCTTCATAAAGAGTATCCTCCCACAAGGGCAGGCAGTCGACGACGGCCGATTAAAAGCAGGTGTGTACACATAACTGTATTTATAGATTAGATAATCATACTGATTGTAAACTTCGAGAAACGCGATTTGATAATAATAGGAAGCCGTATGGTATTCAACGAACTAATAATAACAAAGCGCATAGTATCAACTAGTGTACTATCTTAGTGCTCATTGTATTAAGAATGTGTATTATACCCTATTCGGCAGAGCTAACACTGTATACAGAGTTACAATTATTGTTAGCGTGCAATTTCGTAAACATTTATTCTAAACGCATAATGTATATGATAACACCTTAATATCAAGAATAACACTGATAATACATATGAATTAATATATGTTCCTATAAATTATAATAACTACCAACATTATGACAATAATAGTATCATAAACAGCACAGCAAAGTTATTTAATACATTATTATTGATGTTCATGGTTGGCTTATTAATATCTGCATTAGTACAAATTATCACACATTACGTAAATATGTATAAGTGCTTGATATACAATGTAGTATAATAGCCTAATAAATTGTATACTTACGCGAAAAAGAAATGACGTTACAAATAGACAATGGATTACAATAAACAATGAATTACTAAAATTATGTAGAATAATAATACAAAATGAAAGAAATAAAAAATAAATTTATTTACATACCTAATGTATCAATATTATAACTGACTCGTATAAAACGACGTAGATTAGTATGTGTATATAAATGGTGTTACAGTGACATTAATATGTAGGTATTATATTGTAGATAAATAATTATTTATGCATATTGTTAGTAATAGACTTTTTAACAATAAGTAATAAATTCAATTTATTGCAATAATTAATTTTTTTATCGTATAAATGATGATGAAGTCTATAATGGGGATAGCGAAAGCATAAATAGCTTGATCACTATATATGTTTCGAAATAGACTATTTCTTAGTATTTAAAATTTTTTTTAGGCAAAGCTCTCAGTGCACGACAAGAATAGAATTTTGTATAAATGTTTCACATATACTTACGTATATATGACACATGACCTTAGATTTTATAAATAGAGTGTTAGCATACAAATGCTTCGGGAAAAGCAGATCAACTTTTTTATACAATTTTGCGTGATAAATAGTTATGTGTTTCCTTTACAACTTGTATTTTTATTTTTATTTTCTTATAATTTTTGCATCTATATAATGCGTAAAAACTAATTTTATTTATTAAATAATTATAGATAAATTGTGTGCGTAAGTATATAGAACACTAATTATAAAAAGAGTCAGCTAATTGGTATATAAGGTGACAAAAAGTTGACCCGATGTTGAGACTCGATACTCTATCTACATAATCTAAACACGTGACGTACATATATATAAAACATGTGCGCAAAAAAATTAATGATATTTTCTAGTCAAGAGTTATAGACAATGTTAAGAGCAAGACAATTAGAATTAAAACACTGGAATAACTAAAATTAGATAATGAATCCTGTTAGACAATTAGATTAGCGTTTACAATTCCTTAAGTCGTTAATTATACTCGTAACTATTTTACGTTGAATATAGTTTCAAATCTTCTGGTAACTTCCAATCTTCTGGTCACTCATAGCTATGACTATGATAAAACTAACTCTTCACTTAATCAACGCCTATTGTATTAAGACAACGAAGTACAAAATTCTTTTTATTTTTCAGGAGACGAGGTGTTAGCGGTAAATGGACAAGCGTGCCATGAGTTAGCTCATGTAGAAGCTCTCGCCCTTTTTAAAGCCGTCCGCAATGGAGCTATTGAATTGAGAATATGTAGGAGAGTTAAGAATGCACAGTAAGTATTCTATAATAGTAAAGTCTATGGAAGATGCAATTGCTTATCTTACTAATATAAGAAGAATAGTAATTGGATGATGTATATTTAAATAACAAATGGTATGAGCGGTTTTAATAAAACCAATAGAAACTAAAGCAATAATTTTTAGATATTTTTTCTGTTTATTTAGAATTGGTTTAAATGAAAAAAGAAAAAAAAAACATACAAGAACACCAACAATGATAAACGCATGTATATTTGTGGCTGTGCTAATTAAAAAGAATTTAAAAAAATATTTCTTTACGAATTAAATATATTCGTAAATGACTATATTAAATAACAAAAAAGCACTACTAACTTACAGCCGCGTCATTGCACAAGCCAAAACGCTAAATATAGCAAAATTTATGTCCAGGAAGTTACTTTCGAACGTACTTTATTAAAAATAGTTTTTACATATAAAAGAAGATAATTGATTCCTTACAGCCAAAGCAGCAAAGAATTATTCAAAAAAAAAAATAATAATAACTCTAATTATTGAAAATGTAAGAAAAATTATCATTGTAGTTAATACTTCTGTAATAATGTTTTCTCCTTAATTTCAGATCTACCAAAGCTAAATCATGCACGGACCTACTGAATGACGAAGAATAAAGTTGTAATTTATGTTACAGAATTAATTTAACTACGCATGTCCATATGGCCATATTATTAGGACACAAATATATAACAAATTTGTAATTTCATGTTGAAAATGTGACTCGTTGTACTCGTTAATGCAAAGCTTTTTTTTTGTACCATAAATTAAAAATGTGAAGTGAATAATTTTTGTCACATTACATATTAATATTCTATAATGTAGAATCTGCTGTAAAGTAGCTATTGGATTATCAAAATAAATTATATTCACTAAATATATATTCGAAACAAAATATCCTACTCGGAAATTTAAAAAAATATCACCTTTTGTTAATTGTTATTCGATAAGATTCGAACCCGCATATCTTAGATATCCATGCCAAATGCGTTTATTGTTAACTCATGGAAATTATTACCACCATATCGGATGGACAGCTGGAAGATGCGGGTTCGAATTCTGAAAGACCAGGTTGTCGAATAGAATTTGATAAATCGAAGGATAATTTATTTTTCAATAGAATATTCACGGAACAATAGTAGTCGAATGTATATTTTAATTGATTTATCTTTACTAATACATATTGTTTTAGATTATAAAATCTAAGAGATTCTTTCAAAATGTACTTTATGAGTAATCATTTTTGATAATTGCCATATTATTGCATAAAATAAGCATAGTTGATTTATATGCGCTATGTTTATACATAGTATAATATATAAGTCAACTATGTATGTTATATATGTATATACACACAGGTGACTTTGATCCATGTTTATTTGGGAATAATCATCATTTATACCGTTACAAGGATATATTTTATATATTTTTTTAATTTCTGCTTTACCTTAATAAAAGGATTCTAATGATGTCAATTTGGATCTTTATAATGAATCTTATTCCTATTACTATATAAAATATGTATGGAAACTTAAGTACAAAATACTTTATCCTTGTAGAAAATTTGATCTAAGTGATAATAGTTACCTATACATATGGCAAATACCCTGTCTAATTCATTTGTATCTATGTCCACAAACTATGTGCTTACATGTAATAGTACATTTTAAAAGATTGTGATTTACACAGTCTAATCTCAACACATTTAATATAACGATGAACAAAATAGTCTGATGATTCTTTTTGCGTGCCATTTGTTTATCTACTTGTGCACTTATCTGTTATTCTTCTAAAATATCTACAATAACAAAGCTGTACCTGACTTTTCTTTTCATTTTTATGTCAAAGCTCAATTTAGTACTCGTAAATACCCAAATTGTAGGCTGATTTTTGCCGCAATCGAATTGGAGTCAAATCGAAATTACGTCAAAATAAGTCATTGTTAATTTGACGTATATCTGAATGACGACATACCTATATAAGGTAAGACAACTTAAATTTTACGTTTATTTTCATAACGTTTATTTGACGCCCATATGATATAATATCGATTTGATCCCGATTCTAATGCGTCAAAAGTCATCCTGCTAATAATTATCCCAAAGATAACAATTAGGTATTTGTGTATTTTTTAAGCATTTCCTATAATTATCTCTATTGTGTTTGAAATAAAAAAAAAAAAAAAACTTGATATAATAACTATTATAGATTTTATAATCTAATGTAAGTAGGTTGCGTGTAGAATTTTGTTTGTGGACTGTTTATGTCCTAAAAGCCATAGCAATATTTGGAATTAATAATGTTATAAACTACGTATGTGTTAGACTGTCTATTTAGAATGGATTTGTATTTTTGCAATGTGCAATAAGAATTGTTAATTTTAATAATTTTAGTAATAGGAAATTAGGGGATGATCTGTCCACTGTGATAGTTTATAATTGAATGTAAGAATGACTTATTATTTGAGTAATGTTTATAATAATTTTGGATTAGCATTGAAAAAAAGCAGATGAATGGTTATGGATATTTTAATTCTTTTCAATGTATAAACACACGTAATTATTTATAATAATATAGTCCGCGTATATGGTTTTAGCATGTTTTCTAATAGATGGAGGGAAATTGCATGACAAATTTTGTAGTTATTTGTTAATAATGTTAATAGCAAATCGTGAAATGTAAAATAAACATTTAAATTTGACTTGTGCTCATGTAACTATTAAATAGATTTCTCTGTCGGTCTGTTGTACCAGTCTGTCAGATGAAGTTCGTAATTGAATAAAAGATTGTGTCATTTTGTAGAAATAAAAATTTAATTTTTGAGAAAATTGCACTGACACGAGTCCCTAATCCTATTTCTTAATTTAAAATTGTAATCTTTTAGATAAAGTGTTGAATTACAAACTATCAAGAAACGGTTTAAAATAGTACTGATTCAACTGTATAATAAAATTAGATTCATTCTGGTCGCGGTATAGATTAATATTATGAAGTACTCATACTATAAACAGAAAAAAATTGATTGTTTGTGTGTTTGTTTATAGTGTGCATAATACATAGCTTTGATGTTACTATACTTTTTCTATGTAAATGATAAAACTTTGCATAGAAAATTAACAGTAACTCAACTTAGGGGCCTACGGGGATGAGAATTTTTACGAAGGATAGAGTTTCAGATATGCAATAAACGCGGGTGGGTTATACAAGTACATTGCAGTAAAATTCTGTATTCTTTTTAACAAATATTAAAATATGCAACGGATTGTCTCTATCGTCTACATCTTTTATTTGTCAGATAATTATCATTTTTATAAGAAAAATGGATATAAATATTGAGTTATACTGATTTTTTCTTACAAAAATGACTAGCATGTATCGTTTATATAAGAATCACAAAGAATTTAACAATTTTATCAATCAATTTTGTCTTGTACTATATATTATTATAAGAATATGTAAGAAATTAATATTCCTAGGTACTTAATGTAATTATAATTTGTACCTAAATTGTGAATTATTTTAAATAAAAGTCTAGCAGTTTATTATACATATCAATCTATTGTAATTAAATAGCTATCGTAAATTCATTATTGTTAGATATTAATAAAATAAATAATTAAATACTATACGTGTTTTTAAATGTCCGAAAGTCGTAATACAACCTATTTGTGCCTCGCACTAAAAGGTAATAAATGCCCTCTCTCTGTATACTGCCTTTGCGTGCCTAACAAAGCACGAAACCAGTAAATATTTTTTTTATAGATTCAAACACGAATTCAAAAATTCAGAGATTTAATTAGTTTTTATTTTTTTACCTTGCTAATAGATACATTTTAGATTTCTGTTTTGTAATCCCACTAGTGACATCTTAATATTTATATAGCAAATATTTTTAGCAGTTGTAAATTTCGCGAAACAAGTTGTAAGACATTTAGTAGTCAAGTAACAGCGACATCTATGAAGCATGGTTAAAACTTCGCCAACTTAAAATTTATTAAATTACTTATACTACGCTAGAAGGCACTGTTAATAAAATAATATTAAATGATTTAGATCATTTCTTATTTTCAAAATACACAATAATTTATTATTATTTTAACATAATTACAAATTAAATACAAGATAAATATTTAATGAAAACTATCAGGTAGCAGCAAGTAAGTTTTAAGGTCTTCTCTAAACAGTCGCAGAATCCTATCACATACCTATACCATATACCATACATATCACATACTTCATCTCTTGTAACAATCTCCGAAATTATTAGATTTTTCTCGATTTTAAAACGTTACCTAAATCATATAGGGAAATAATTGTTAGCAACGAGGACGAGTAGCTCGTAGTTAACAATGCCCAATCAAGTCAACCATCTTCTGGTATGTTACCGTCATTAATTTTCTGTAAAATCATCATCAAAAGAAGAACCCCCAAAGAAATTATACATCCATCAATAGACAAGTATTATTTTTAATTGATTATTGGATAAGAACAATTGATTGTCAAACACGTTGTTTCCTGAATCTCCCGGAATCTTATAGATAACATAAGATAGCTATACACGCTAAGTCATTGTTTACCAATAGCGAAAGTTTCTCACTGCAATTATAATTAGATTTTAATAGTAGACGATTAACAAAGATGGCAATTCTTTCTACTAATATTATAAAGAGGAAAAATTTGTTTGGTTATTTGTAATGGACAAACACAAAAACTACTCAACGGATTTTTAAAAAATCTCTCATAGAAATTTATATTATCAACGAGCAGAGAGCTATATGAATATTATTTAGATTATATAGATGAGATTCTATCTACCTAGCCCCAAAAACGGATGTTTGTCAGCTAATTGTTAAATTAGCTGACTCGTTTTTTTATCAGTGTTCTATATACTTACGCATAAAATGTATCTCGACGTATTATAAATAAAGTGAATATTTAGGCATTAAAAAGGTGCAAATTTTGTAAAAAAAAATTTTTGAACTTATAAAGGAATCACCCATAACTATTTATCACGAAAATAAACGAAAATGTTGACCCACTATTCTTGAAACATTTGTATGGAGACACACCATCTATATAATGTAAGGTATTTTCGAAAATTTCATCTATCCGCACGAAGCCGGGCTAGATCACTAATATCAGATATTTTGTTTCTTTTTTTAGATGCTAGTAACTAAAAAATAGAAAAGTAGGAATAGTAAAGGTATGAAACTGGGTGAACTTATTTCTAGACGGGATATATTCAACTATGAAAATCATCCAATTTAGTATAGTGGATAGATTTTATATAATGCCAAAACAAACATACAGAGAGACAGACAAATAAAAAATGTAAAAAATATTGTCCAACTTATATTGCTCTTATTAAGAACGCAGTAAATATGACATCTACAAAGACTGTACTAAAAAGACAGTTAAAATGAATTAAATATGTCAACAGATCTAAAACATGCAATAAATTGCCCTAAAGGATATATTTATTTACCTATCAGTTATTTGTAAGTATGTTAGTTAATTACTATAAACACCTGCTGACTTTTCCGCTTTGATAATATCATTTTAATGATACGATAGATCTTTCACGACATTTACCATCACTATCCTAGCAACGCTTTCATCATTACAACTAATTAACCAGTATTTATATACTAATGTATATAAATGTATGTAAATTCCAATCTGCACTTATAGATTTTGCTCCACAAAAAAAACCATCAACTTGAAACGTGCCGTTTGGATTGTGATTTTTTTATACAACTTAGAATGGCAAACAAGCTGACGGCTTACCTGATGGGAAGTGGTAACCGTCACCCATAGACATGAGCAGTACCATGAACATAACAGAGTATACTGTTCCGCCCATGATATTTTTCATGCGTTGCCATTCCTGAGGACTTAGGTGTAATTCCTCTGTACCCTGTAAATTCACTGCCATAACTCACCCTTCAAACCGAAATACAGCCATGCAAACACAAGTGCTTCACGGTCAAGAAACACGAATGGGACAAAGGTGCCCAAGCAAATGACTTTTGTACAAAGTTTCTGTTTGTAATTTTAAATGCAATCTATTAAACCGATTTGATGAAATTTCTTTGAGACCAATCTGAAAGTAAATCATTTAAAATAAAGAAAATAATTTTCAAATTGGTTTACAATGACGTAGTTCTAACTAACAAACATAAAAACATACAACCGGATTGAGTACCGCCTCCTTTTCTTTAAAATCAATTAAAAAGTAACTCCAATTGTAAACATATATACACCGATCAAAACCGGGATGTTCCAGAGACATAATGTACTGACAATATTTAAAATTAGTTAAAATCGTATGCCTACGAATTGATATTTATGACACCATTTTAAAAAAATGTGATATAAAGCAAAATATATCAAATATAATATAATATTCAATCATGTAACATCTCATGAGTATCTCTCATGTAAGAGAGAAATACGATTATTCATCACAATACCGTTATATTTAATCAATAAAAAGGGAGAAACAGATCCAAATTAATTACTAAAAATATCTCACGTACGCAATGAACGACCCCCAATAACTTTATCAGACATACAGTTGACCATAAATTGTACAGTTAACTGGATGTAATTCATATGGAATAATTATCTATCATCATAGACCAGCTTCCGTCCTATGCGAAGTATCTACTACAAAGAGAGAACCAAATGCCGATGACCTTTACACTTACATAGTAATTGACTTAAATCACTTGATTCATTCGCTTTCATAAGGTTATTATCATTGTTGTTTTTTACTGATAATCATAATTATATATATATATATATATATATATATATATATATATATATATATATACTCCTTATAGTCTACTCTTGTGCGTAATAAAGAGTATATTATTATACGTAGATTTTTCATATATTTTGAAAAATCATAAATTTTAAATCAGATATTTTTTTATAACATGGTGCAAACGAGTTGTGATCAGCAACACACGATAAGGTAAGCTGCATATGCTTAACTGATATTGTGTGTCGCCGTAGAATAAGCCACCCCTTTGTTTTTCGTGGGTGTTGTAAGAGGCGACTAAGGGAGAGCGAGGGATGGGCAGCAGCGTCGTCTTAAAACCAAAAACCAAATCCTAGCTGTGCTAATCCGCCTGCCAAGCATAGCAACTACTGGCAAAACCCCCGACGGGGTCAGCTTATGTTCAACAGTGGATAGTTAAAGGCTGATATGATGATGACCTGCCTTTTGAGAAGAAATTATGCTCTTTGCTTGAAGATTTCCATTTCTGCAGTTTTAATATAACATATTAAATTGTAGCAAGGGTTTTTTGTTATACTTTGTGAAACGACATATTAAAATCCTTATCTCCTCTTCTTAAGCTCGTATCATCTCAGTTTACAACGTGAACATGCTTAATTGCAGTACCACGCTTTATCAGTGAAGTAAAATGACACCGTGTTTGTTTTACAAGCTGTTCTGTTGACTTAAGATGTCAATGACTCTACGAACACTGAAACACTGTTGCTACAGAAACAGAAAATATTACCTGCTAACAGTTTTAATGAAAATACTTAGAAATAAATAATCGACAAAATATTCATTGGGAACAATGTCTAGACCGCTAACCTAGCGCCTACAATTAGTCCATGCCGTTCTTTGGAACAATAAGCTCATTTGGAAAACACACTACTTTAAAAGGCGCACTCAAGATCTCTAATACTGCAGAGAGACTGCGACAACAGGGATGTCACATGTGCGTACGTTAGTAACGGTAACTGTGGTATATATTAATAGAACATAAACGAAAGTATAAAAAATAAAACAAATAATTAACCCGACCGTGAGATAGTCAGTCTGCTGATGAAATGAAATGAAACTATGATATTAAATTAATTTTTATATATTTTTATATATAATTTTTTATAAAAAAGTTATATATAATTTTTATATACTATTACAGTAAAAAAATAAAATGTCTTTACAATAATATGTGTGCGTGTGTGTATGTGTGTGTAATAAATAATAGTACAAATAAAATATCCATTCATTGATTGAATGTTTCAATTTATTACTAATTTAAATGAGAGTGTTTATGTAATAATCTAATGTAATTTGGTTACGTTTTTATTTATTCTATTAAAACAGTTTTTGAATATCATCAGCTGAACTGCAGTTATCTGTTTTAATGTATAAAGAATATAAAGAATACCTATTTACTTTTCTACTCCAGCTAGTATCGGTAACATAAGTATCGGAAATCCGTAAATAAATTGTTACAAAATGTATCTACAAATTATACTTTATCAACATATATACACAGAAAAGCTTTCTTCCAGGCTCCCCTTGCTTTTTCGCTTCATTGGCGCCATGGGACTGTAACCAGAAACTACCTACACACTTAAGGTTATTCAGGACTTACATTACACACGCCATCTGGTGAACGTATAAACTTATCAGAACCTATACAAGAAGCACAATTACTTTATAAATTTGTACCTCGATTAACTGTCATTGACAGGGTATATATGGTAAAGGTCAATAATAAAAGTGAAATAATTCTCTTCTTTGATGTTTAGATAACAATTTTCCAAAAAATCAATATTCCAGGAAACAAATATTCCAGGAAACCATACA